ATTGTTCCAATTCGTCGATTTTATCCTCTTTGACAAAATGGTCGCAAATGTTGTCCACTTTGAGCTGTCGAATGCGAAGGCCGGGTGTGTCCAACAGTTTCTTTGCCTGCTTTAACTTTCCGCACTCAACACAAACGGCCGCCAAATCCATAATTGTATTCATTTCGCCGTGAATTTTGTCGGAAGCGTCGATCACTTGTTGAAGTCTTATTTGGTCGCCGTTGTCGAGGAAATAGCGGATCAATTGATTTTTCCAGGGAGTGATTCGGTATTTTTCAGCCATATTCAAGAACTCCTTCAATGCCTCCGAATAGTCCTCTTTAAGAATGTGATACTTCACGAGAGGTCCGGCCATTATAGCGCTCGGAGTCATGTTTGAGTAATCAATGCACAGATCAAAGAGTTCGCGAATTTGTTTGATATCGACTTTGGCGTCGATAAGACTACTCATAAATCTAAAAATACTCATATCTTTGGATCTGATGTGTTGTATATTTGTCTCTTCGCCGTCGAATGATTCGGATTTATCTCTGTTTTCGCTTTGAATCAAATCAATCGCTTTATTGATCTCATTATTTTTGACATAAAGTGTCGCGAAATTGAAAATCTTGTAGCAATCGATTTCAAAATCTTTGGGAATATTATTCTTCATCTCAAGAGCGGATTCAATGTCTCCGCTATTGACGTAAAACTCCATAAGCATAGCATTCATAGCATTTGTAAACTCGTGATCCGACGCTTTCAAGTCGTCTACAATTTGTTTCACTCTTTTTCGAGACTCATTTACCAAAACATCAGTATTTGATTCGTCATTAAATCGTGTTCTCCGACAGTAAGCCATAAGAAGACTTCTCAACAGTCCTCTCGTATTCAATCCCTTAGAGCGAAGTTCAATGAGATGTCCCTCGAGTTCTTCAATAGACATCTCTCTTCTTTGTTTGATTACATCGTCTAAACTATGGGTTACAACACCTTTGAAGTCATCGGAAGATTTTAATTTAATCAATAAGTCGTCGTTTTCGTCACTTAAAGTAATCCGATCTCTAATTGCATTGATTGAGTCTTCGCTTACTTTCATAGATAATTGATTATATGATTGCAAAATTTGTTTCAAAAGACTGTCTGAATGTCTCGAACTTCTTATAATATTCAGCAAAAACTGTCCGAAAGGGTCGGTTGTCTCCATTTCTGGCGCTCGTGCCGTTCGCAACGGATTCTTGTGTAGTATCTGAAGAGCGCTAACAATTTTTTTGATATTAGGATTGGGTCGGAATATAGCGTCTGTTAGGGCAGACATTAGGTCTCTCTTTCCTAAATTGACTGAAGAATAGTGGGGCGAAGACATGAGTGCAATCGCTTCATCGATCCGATTGTTGTTAATGTGGAACCGAAGCAATGAATTAAATGTAATAACATATGAAAATCCATATAATTTGCATTTTTCAAGAAATGTTTCAAAATCGATGATATTTTTGGGCCAAATATAGTCAATGAAAAGTTCAGTGAGTTGTGAATAAGAGCCGCCGGCAAACGCTGCTAAATCTTCACTCAACACTTCCAGAATCTCATTCTCATTACGACACTTGACTATAAGAGGATAGAAATAATGCATTTTCATGGGTTGGTTACGACTTAAACGCTTGAGATATTGTCGACAATGCGATACATTTGCGTGAAGTAACGCCAATTCGGTGGCATTTTTGATGGCAAACTCATTCTTGCCGTTCGCTTCAAGACTTTCGCAAAACGCGATAACAGTTTCGGGAGAAATGTTGGCGTTAATCATACCTCGGATGACAGGATTGCCGACTGTCTTCCGGTTAAACTGCTGTTCCGACGCATCCATTGTCTCATAGAGTTTAAGCGCGACATTAGTTTTGTTTGCAAATAATAAATCGTTAATGCGTTAATCATACCTCGGATGACAGGATTGCCGACTGTCTTCCGGTTAAACTGCTGTTCCGACGCATCCATTGTCTCATAGAGTTTAAGCGCGACATTAGTTTTGTTTGCAAATAATAAATCGTTAACAAGATTGAGACACTCTCTGTTATAATTAATGGTTTTCCCGATTTTGCTCAGCATTTGGTCCAATAGTTTGTGGTCGGAGTCAACCAATGCTAAAGTTTTAATCACTTTAAAGTAATCTCTTTCTGAGAAATCGATTTCTTTNGACACTCTCTGTTATAATTAATGGTTTTCCCGATTTTGCTCAGCATTTGGTCCAATAGTTTGTGGTCGGAGTCAACCAATGCTAAAGTTTTAATCACTTTAAAGTAATCTCTTTCTGAGAAATCGATTTCTTTGTCTTTAGCTTCGGCTAAAATTTCATTGAATTTTGCTTCAGATTCTGGTTTTTGTATATTCAAAGCATAGGCGCAGAGAAGGGCGGTATAGGTGTCGACTGTGGGCTCAATGCCTGCGTTTTTCATCATTTCCAGGTTCTGGTGAGCGGTTTCCAAATCACCGGCTCTTCCGTAGCCAATAATAAGTGAGTTAAAGACAGACTCACTGATAGCCATATCCTTATTCCTCATGTGCTCTAATATCCTAATGGCTTCCGATATGTTTCCCGTTTGGCAAAAGCGTTCAATCATAAGCACAAACGTCACCCGATTTGGTTCCACACCTTTGGCCTGCATTTTCTCCAAGTAGTCGATGGCATCGAAATCAAACTCATTCTCGACATATACTCTCAACAATTGATTGTAATGAGAGATATCCAAGTCTGAGGTCTTGGAGAGCGTCTCAAACATGGTTTGACACACATCTCTTCGCTTTTGATGGCTCTCATCCGAGACCAGAGAACCGCAACTTCTGATGAGAAGAAGACTTTGCGAAGTCGTCGGCCGTATATTTCCCTCTATTTTCAGTGGTTAAAGACAATCAATTAATGGCTAAGACAGCGGATGACAATCGGATACAACAATCAAAAGCAATACATACTTGTATTGATCAACTCTTGGAGACAATGGTTGACATCATTGATAGTGATTTTGCCGAGTCTTCGGATATTATTGTCGAGTCGTTTGAGTTGATTGTGAAACTCATTGAGCGATTGAGAGTTAGTGTTGAGCCTATGATTGACTCTCGTATGCAGTGTTTGAATGCATTTGTGTCTCAGCGAAGACAACACGCGTTGAGTGACCGCCTGTCCGGACAGCGAAAGCATTGTCGCAACAGTTAGTAGTGTTTCCAACGGTTCCCAAAATCAATCACTTGTTTTCACAGTTAATTCAATTCAAAAAACACAATCAAAAAATCATTACATCAGACAAAACACATGTGCCCTCACTATAACACACCCGCGCTGTCCACACATTACGTGCCAAATGAATGGCACGTATTATATGATGGATGGTATGGACAGCACAGATGTGTTGAGTTGTGTTGAGTGCCCCACAAATCACATGACATTTGTTTGCATTGAATGTTATGTTTTTGTTTTCATACGAAACGCAACCAAAATATAGTCATTAATAATCACAACAATCACTTGAATTGAGTTATGGATCACACCATCGATGGTCAGCAAAGGTCTGTATTTTGTGATCGCATTCAAAATGCATTCATTTCTTGTGTTTATTTATCAAATGATTATATCATTCAAAGAAGTGACGAAAAGACGGATCAATCGAGTGATGGCTTAGAGAGCGCTGCGAACGAAGACATATTGACGCCATCGACGACTTCGTGGTGGACTTCTTGGGTCCAAAAGGTCTGTGTTTTGCATCGCTTTCTCTTTCATTTGAATTTGTGTTTTAATTAATGGTTTGATTAGTCGAGCGATACGTTTGAGTCAATTAAGAAGGATTTGAATGAATTGAAAGCAACGGTTCAAACGGATGGCCTCGAAGTGGTCTCAAACACGGCTTCATATGTGAGCCAAACCATGAAAGATACCATTACTGGTATCAGTCATACGATGGCTCCAGACTTTGACCAAAGCGATGAACAGAGACCTGAAGTGAGTGGCGTTGAAGAGCCGACGGACACCAATAAGTCGAGTGACGTCACGAGTGGTCAGAAAGAGGGTGAAGAGGCGTCTGCAGAGGCGAAGGGCTCGGATTGGGACGAATGGACCGCAGACTTGACTAATAAAGCGAAACATAAGTTGAATGCTTTGATGGGAAACATTGCGGACGCTTTCCTTATCAACAGAAATTACTTCGAAGACGAGGACGAGATGTATGTCTTGAGCGGCGATAAGTTGGTTGCGATCGAGAAATGGCAACAATTGCTGAATGAGGTGCAGATTAATGCCGACACTTACTGTCGTGAACCGAGTGGTCCGCCCGAACACTACGAGAGTTGGTTAATGACATTCAATCTGATTGACTATCAAAGACAAATGGATCACATGCTGCAGACTGTGCCACAGATGAGCGACTTCTACGCACAACTCGTTCCCAACTCTTTGTCAGACGTGGAGTTTTGGCACCGATTTTACTATAGAGTCCATCAGTTGAGAGAAAGCGAACGCAAGAAGATTGAGGACAACGCGAATGAATTGAAGTGCGAATCGGTGTCCGAAATGGAGACTAATTTGAATCGAAATCAAAAATCTGTTGAAATAAAGCTTTTAGAAGAAAAGAGTTCTGTTTTTGAATCGCAACAAATGAGAGATGAGTTACAATCGATGGCCAGCAATGAGTGTTCAGACGTGAGATCTTGCGGTGATTCGAGTGACGCCCAAAAGTCAGACACTGGAAGCGATGATTGGGAGAAGACTGACATTCCAGTCAGCGATGAAGACATTAAAGATTGGGTTAAATGCGAATGATTTATATTTTACTTTTAATTACTTTTAATAAATATATGTATAATATTTATGTATTGTATATAAAAAATATTTCGTATTTAAGAAAATATATTTAAATGTTTTTTTAGTGCCATTATATGAAGTGATTCTTATATTTGTTTCTTTCAATCGTTTCATTTTGCATCAAATCTTTGGCCGTTTGTAATATAAGTTGGTTTTAAATAGTCTTTAATCGTTATTATTTGGGTTCAATTATAAATATTTAATAAATGTAATTAAAATCATATTTTATATAAAGAAATATCTAAAAGTAAAGTAAAAAGAAATCAAATAAAAATAAAATACAACTTCTATAAATACTGTATAATTTATGCAAATCTTGTATAATTATTAACCTATAATGATTTCTTAAAACAACTCAATAACTTTTGTTGGATTACATTCTTGGAAAATGTTTAATCAACTTATAAAATACTTAAAACAATGTAATAAAATGTTGAGATGAATGTAGACTCAGAGCATACTTATTACGGGTCATAACAATGTATTTAGCAATACTTGGCATTTATTCAATTATTAATAACAATTATTAACAATTCAATATTCAAGTAATTGTAAGTAAAGACAAATTCATATCGATTGTTAACAATGAGTTATTCATAATTATAAAACAATGTTTGCAATAAAGTATTGCTTTACTGTTATTATAAAACATGATTGAAATTCTTATATAATTAATGTAATCTATGATTCACTTCAATGTTTTGCAATGAATTCAAAAATATGCTAAATTAAGAAAGATTTAGCGATTTATTTATAGAAACTTTTCAAAAACCTGAACTTTATTTGGTTTTGTTTTCATTTTCCCCGATTTAGTACTCCATTAATAACTCATGAAAACTAGTGATAATTCTAATGATAACTGTATTATTAAGTGGTCTTTGGCTTCATATGAATACTTACTCATAGACTTAGAGTTAGTGTTAGTCTTGAAATAATTTTTGTTTTAATTTTATTTAATCCAATTTTTATGATAATTATATTTCGATTGAATTAATGATACATTGGACTCAATTGTCGGTTTAAATATGATTAACCATTTGATTGATTTAAACATTATTTTGCTAACTATTTCGATTTGAATCGTATAATTATTTTCAGTTTACAATGTTTATATTCCGATAAGTTTTTGTTAACTAACTAGTTTGTTAATTAGTAATCACTCATTAACTTTTTTTTAAACAATAAACTATACATCTATATGAAGCATACAATACAACAATAATCTTAAAATAAGTTTCCCATAAAAATTAAACAACAATTTCTAATAATAACTCATTAGAACTAATGTGAAAATTGAGAAATAATGAATTTTAGAAAAACAATTTACAAACCAATAACTATTGAAATGCAAATACAATACTTTGAATTTTTGAAATTATTTTCAAATGAATTTTTAGATATCTACAAATTATATATGCTTAAATATAATTGATTTAATGGTAATATTTATTTTGTAATATTTATTTTGTAATATATTAGATATAATCGATGGGAAAATAATTTTTAAAAATAAAAATAAATTAAATTTTTGAATACATTTTCGAAAAGTAATAGAAAGAAAATGTGAATTGAAAGGAGAGCTGAATAGGAGTATAATATATGACTGACTGTGGAGTGAAATGCCATTGAATGGAAAGCAAAGCTAAAGCCACAGCCAGTGAAGCGAACCGTCAGAAAGAAAGCAGTTTTCTATTCAACATATCTTTCTGGCAGTGAATGCCATACAAAAAAGTTTCCA